TCGATCTCCTGGGGCCCGAACCTGAGGCGCGCATTCTTCTGGTTCAAAGGCATCGTACTCGGGATCATGAGGCCATCGCTCGCGCGTCATCGAGCTGTCTTCGGTTGGGCTGGAAGCCGATCTGGATGCCAGGTATTCCTGGACCGCAAGGGGGCGACAGCTCGGGAGTGGTCATCCTGGCTCGTGACTGGCTGGTCCTGTATGAAGTTGAAGGTGGCGACTTGTGCGACGGCAGGGCCCTGGCTTGCGTGGTGCACGCGCCAGCCTCTCCCCCTGTCTGCCTTTGCTCGCTCTACTTGGAGCACTCGGTCGGCCATGACTCGTCCAACTCTGGGGTCTTGGTCAAGCTAGGGGGGTCCCTGACCAAGCTTGATTGCGAGTTCGTATGTGCAGGCGGTTTCAATTTCAACCCCGAGGTTTTGCATTCGTCTGGTTCCGTGTCTGAGCTTGGGGCCCTCTTGGTTTACACTGAGTCCAACACTCATTTCCCCTCTCAGGGGCGGCCAAGGGTTTTCGACTACTTTGTCGTCTCGGGCGGTTCGGGCAAAGGTATTCGCAGCATCTGCGTCGTGGAAGGCTTTTCGCTGCACCCGCACAGGCCAGTGAGCCTGAGCCCCCCCCCCAGTTATTCTACCTCAAAGCCCTGGCCTTTCGTAAGCCGCCCCCTTTGCCTCCGACGCCTCCGCTCGGGCCTGCGGCCGAGTTGAGGGAGGCGGACTGGTCCCAGGTCCAGGGTTGCGTGAGACAGGCTAAGGGGGCGATTGCGAGAGGCGGTGGTGATGGTGCTGTCTCTGCACTGCCTGTCATGCACCAGCTGTGGGCCGATCAGGCCGAACGTGACCTCGAGCGCGCGCTCGGCAGTGATCTGCCCTTCCGCGGATGCCGAGGCAAGCCTGTTGAGACGTGCTGGAAGAACATTGTTAAGCCCCTTAAGCCCCCTAAGGACTTCCTCCTCCGAGGCCTTCGCTGGCTTGGGAACTGGGTTCGCGCCCTCGTGCTGGAGTGCAAGGCTTGCGGGACCTGCAAGGGCAAGGTTGTTGGAATCGTCGACTCTTTCAAGATGCCGCCGCCCCCGGTCGCTGCTGCAGCTGCTGTGCGCGAGGGTATTTTTTCGGGGGGCGGCGAGCTTAGGCGTTTCAGCTGCAGATCAGTTCCTCATCGATTGCGAATCCCTCCACCAAGGGGACCCGGCCCCGCTGGTCGCGAAGGCCAAATCGGATGCGGTCGCTCGTAGCAAGAATTCTTGGGAAGACTGGCTCCAGAAAGGGCTTGGCTTTGGCGGCAAGAGGGCCCACTTGGCCCTTCGGGGCCCTGTGCCGTGGAAGGCCACCACCACCCTCGTTTGCCGCGGCGGGATTCGCGCTGACCCTCGTTCCCTTCTCCAGGCGGAGGGGCTCAAGTTCGGCGAGCTGTGGGGACCCGGCGCTGGCCCCGAAAAGGGGCCCTGCTGAGATCACCGAAGCCTTGCCCCAACTCTCCCCCGACGAGCTAAGGAAACTCAGCCGCTCGCACAGGAAGGCCAGCGCCGTGTCGGTGGATGGATTCCACCTCAGGAACTACAGTCTCTTGGATGGTGCTGCCCTGGAGGCTCTGGCTGGGATGATGTGGGTCGTTGAGTCGGCTGGTCGTCTCCCTCCCCAGGTCTCTGTTGTCTTGTTGGCTCTCCTGGGCAAGGCCGCTGGAGGCTTTCGGCCGATCGGTGTTTGTGCCTCGTGGCATAGATTGCGGGGCAGGGCCAGACGCCCCCTGGCCCTCCAATGGGAGTTCGACCATCCCAGACCCTACTGGGCGGCAGGCGCCAACCGTGGAGCTGCGGACGTCGCGTGGCGCCAGGCCGTCAAGGCTAAGTCGGGTGTTGCTTCCAACTTGGTGCCTGCGTCCATCGTCTGGGACATTGAAGAAATATTACGAGAGTATATCCGGGGATTTTCTGGAGCACCAGTGTGTGCGTCATAACTTCATTGCATCGCCCGCGTGTGTCCGGAGGCCTACATGTCGGTCCGATACCTCTTCTTGGGAGGTATCCTGGAGTGGCCCTTCTGGGCCCTCTCGGAGGTCATTGCGGGCTGTTCGATGGCCACTGATTTGATTAGATTTTTTTTTTTGACATGTCTGCCTTCGATGACATCCCCTTGCAAGTTGGCACGGATTTCGATGCTTACATTGATGACACGGGCCTGTCGAGGACAGGCACGGCTGAAGATGTTGTTTCAGGCCTTGTCTCGAGTGCGCTCGGTCTGCATAAGGCCCTCACTGGAATCCTAGGTTGTTCCCTGGCCATGGACAATACAGGCTTGGCGAGCAGCAACAAGTGGGTGGCCCAGCAGCTCGAGCTGCAGCGTGGCGCTGTCGCTGGAGAGTCGGCCCCCGCTGCGGTCAACTTAGGCGTGGACTTCACGGCTGGCCGTGCGCTTCGTGCCCGCGGAGCTGGCAAAGGGAAGTCTAGCAAGTTTAAGGAGCGCATGGCGCTCGCCCAAAGGAAGACCCGTCGGTTGAGGAAGCATAAGGAGGTCCTGGGCCGCAAATCCCTCCGCATTTTCACCGCGGGTCCCTTGGCGAGCGGCACCTTCGGGGCGGAAGTTTTTGGCATCAGTGATAGGGAGTTGCACCAACTCCGCTCCGTTGGGATGTCTACGATATCTCCTAAAGTCGCAGCACCGCTCTCTCACTGTGATCTCTCTTCTGGAAGGGGATCCGCCGTGGAGGGTCAGCGTTGCTCCTTGAGTCCGCTATGCTAAGGAGCTGTGGTTAACTCAGACTAGACAGTTCTCGGGGTCTCTCTCCTTTGGGCTTCTGAGGCATGCTTGGAACTCGGTTTTTTGTAGGGACGGTTGGTCTTGGGCCAAGGTTTCTGGGCACCTCAGTGCTCTCAGGATGACCCTCTACAGACTTGGGTGGTCCATGAACTCTTTCTGCGAGTGCGTGGACGACAGGGGCCACCTCCTCAACCTGCTCATCCTCTCTCCGGGGCTCGTCGGGCAGCTTGCAAAGGCTGCGGCGTTGAGGGGCTTGGAGAGGGACTCGGGCCCGAAGTTAGGAGTACCCCACTGTCTCTGTTGGGACATTGTGCGAGAAAAGCTTAGGTCCAGCAATGTCTCTTTCAAGGGCAAGTCCGCCATGGGGGCCCTCGCCAGCAACGCCATCTGGACTAGTGTCGCGGCCAGGAGGGCTGGCTACGAGACCCCTTCGGCCTGTGCACTGTGTGGCCAGTACGAGGACACGCTCTGGCACAGGCTTTGGCAATGTCCAGCTTGCGCCGAAGTGCGAGAGCGGCTCGTGCCTGAAGATATCCTTGCTCTCGCGCTGGACTCGGAGTCGGGCGGCTATAAACAAACTCTGTTCGCCCACGGCGCCTTTAAGCACCCTGGAGATGACCTTCCCAAGCCCTCGCCTGACGGCGTTGTGCACGTGGAATGCACGGTGCCAGAAGCCCAGCCCCCAGGCCTCCCTGGCCCTGTGAAAACTCACCCTGATCTCGGTCTCTGGGGTCACGTTTTCCTGGACGGCAGTTGTCTCAAGCATCCTGTGGTTGAGCTTTCCCGTGCTGGTTGGTGCCTGGCCATGACGGATGATAACGCTAACCTGCTGTGTGAAATCACAGCCCCTGTCTGGGCTCCCTCCCCTCAGACCCCCCAGGCGGCCGACTTTGGGGCGTTTTGGGGTCTTAACTTTTCCGTGGAGGCTGGAGCTGACTGCTTCAGCGACTGCAAAAATGTGGTCGACCTTTTCCTCCCGGGCCCAGGCAGATACCTGTCTCCCAGGCTCCAGTATTCAGGGTGTTTAACTCACGGTGCTGCTGGAGATGGTTCGAGGATCACCAGCCTCACCAAGGTAGATGCTCACAAAGACCTGGACGAATCAGGCATCAGTGCTCGAGAGCGCTTCATACGCCAAGGCAACAATGTTGCTGACTTGGGTGCCAAGCGAGCGGTGAGGTGGCAACCCAGTTTCTGTGCAGGAGATTTGGAAGCAGTTGATTTAAAGGTCAAGATCGCCAGGTGTGTGATGGACCTTGCTGCTGCCGTGCTGCCTCTCTTTCCTCGGGTGGAGTTTTGGGGATTGGAGCGGGTTCCTCCTCCTCCTGCTCCTCCTGCTGCTCCAAGGAATCTTCACCACTGGACCCATATGTCGGGGTTTTGGCGCTGTCGAGTCTGCTTGAAGGGCTCGGCGATCTCCGCCCGTCCTGCTGGGGGTTCGTGCCGAGGTCACAGCAGGCTCGACAGCGTTGTTTTAGATCGGCTCCAGCACCGAGTTCTCGCGCTGGAGGCTAGCGACAATTCGCACATGTTCTTCTGCCTCAGGTGTCGGTCTTACTCCTCTGGCGCCCAAGTGTGTAACTTGGGGCAAGGTTTGCAAGCCGCCGACGACCACTGGCAACCGCAATTGGAACAAAATCAGGCAAGGGAAGCACCCCGATAAAGCGGGCGTGACTCTCGATTTGGACCTGGTCAAATCCTTGTTCCTTTGAGATCTTCAGCCTCCTCGAGTGAGATGCCGTTGAGAAGCCGCTGAACCCAAAGCCTCTCACAGTACCTGGTTCCAGAGCTGTGGGAGGTGGCGGGGGAGGCGGCGAGTGCTCTCGGCATGCGGCCATGATTTTGTTGCGGCGCTGCATTCTTAGCCTCCAGTTTGCAGCATTGTTTGAGGCGCCGTGGATGGCAAAAGAGGAGGAGGAGGACGAGGAGGAGGAGGAGGAGGAGGTGGAGGAGGAGGAGGAGGAGGAGGAGGAGGGGGAGGGGGAGGGGGAGGAGGAGGATGAGGAGGGGGAGGATGAGGAGCAGGAGGAGGAGGAGGAGGAGGAGGAGGAGGAGGAGGAGGAGGAGGAGGAGGAGGAGGAGGGGGGGGGGGAGGACCTCAGTTCCAGCGGTCACGCCTACCGTTTGCGCCGCAGTGGTGAAGCAATTATCTTCGCTCGGGATGTCGGGCAGCCCCGCGTCGGGGCACGTCCAGCCCAGTGGCAGGAGCGAGAAGCCAGGCCCTGACGTCACGGTCGTAGTGACGGAGGAGGAGACTGTGCTCGTGTATGTCCCTGGGCAGATGTATAGGGGAACGAAGAATGACCTAAACATGAAAATTCGGAGGTCCGCGCGGATCCCATGGCGGGCTCCGCGTGCCAGGGAGGGGGTCCAGCGCCGATCCGAGAAATCCGCGCGGACCTCCGAGTTTTTATGTTTATGTCATTCTTCGTTCCCCTAGATGTACCGATAATCGGAGTTTGCTTGTGTGGCTGCTCCAGTGGTTGTGGAATAGAGAACGCCGCCGTCCGTGACGTCGTTGTAGACACAGCTGAACCCCAAGTTTGCCGGGATTCCAGTGAAAGTCTTATCGCTCAGGCCAGCAGCAACCATCGCGAGGTTCTGGCAATCCGTCGAGCTCGGCACGTCGGGGAGCCCAACCTCGTAGCAGGTCAGGCCGGCAGGCAGTAGGGAGTAGCCGTCGTTGTAGTTGCTGAGGGTGAGCCTCCTGTCGGGCAGCTCCACCACTGTCAAGCCCGGCGGCGCCTGCCCGCCCCACAGGGGCGCGCTGGCCGTCGAGGCCGAGGTCGCGCTCGCAGTGAAGTTGTCCGTGGTCGTGCTTGCCGTGGGGGCGCCAACGCGCGCCTTCCTAAGAAGAAGAAACATCGGCACAAGCATCAACTTGTGGAGGCCCGCGCGGATTTTTTGGATTGGCGCCGGGCCCTCCTACCTGGCGAGCGGAGAGCGCCAGGGGCGGCGCCACAGGTGCCGCCAGGGGGGTCCAGCGCCGATCCAAGAGATCTGCGCGGGCCTCCAAACATTCATGTCCATGCCGTTCCTTCTTTTTCGGTGCCTCCACGGCGCCGCCGATGAAGGCGCTTCTGGGGAAGCTGCCCTTGCAGGTGCCGCCCTCAACGACGCCCATGCGGAGAGTAGCAGAACGCCAGCCAGAGGTGCGTCCCGCTGGGGGCGGCAGCCGGTCCCCATGCTGTGCAGTGGTCGGCTTATTCCCCAGGGAGCCTGATCAGTATCAACTAAGATGTTTTAAATGTCTTGGGCCACAGTCCTGGCCTCGATCGCCCAGACATCCTCCTCCTCTTCCTCCTCCTCCTACTTCCTGCCGAGGCCTCAGACGTCCTGTCCCAGCGCCCACCAGACCCATGCCAGCGTGGACAAGAAAGCATCACGACTTCTGTTCGATGGTGCTCGCGCAACAGTGAACACATACCAGGCGACCCTGCACTGCCATGGTGGGTCATCGGGTCGTCTTTAGGGGCCCTCGCCATTTTCAGGCTGCAGACTGCAGCTCCCAAGGCAGGCAACGCAAGGCCCATCAAAAATGGCCGAAAAGAAAACGGCACGTGCGCGAGGGACTACATCACAGCGCCCTTGGCGCTCGGGGAGGCGAACGCAGGAAAACGAAGGCTCAGGGCCCCTGACAAAAGAAGAAGAGGAAGAAGAAGGAGGAGGAGGAGGAGAAGAAAGGGAAGACTCAACAACTGCACAACCCACAAAAGGTCTTAAGCAAAACTCTTTTTTGATAATGGGAACTAATTGTTATTGCGCGGGCTTCTTCTTGACGGATTGGGACCGGACACAATATTGGGAAAATAACTCGTTTCCTGCGGCGGCCACTGCTGGGATTCCGATGGGTTCCTCAAAGTCCAAGGAATCCCTCAGGAGTCTTATGGATTCGTAGCAATCCTAAGGATTCATACGGATTCCTAAGGATTCTCAAGATCCCCTCAGGATCCCAAAGGAGCACGGGGAGAAGGCGAGGAGGGGAGCACGAGGATGAGGGCGAGGAAGGAGAGCGAGGAGGAGGAGGAGGAGGAGGAGGAGGGCGAGGAGGGGAGGGACGAGGAGGGGAAGGACGAGATTTATTGGCCGCCGAGAACTTTGGGCCGGGGGAGTGATACAGTATTACATAAAGACCTCCTGCGGTTAAGCACTAACTTTCGGAAGTCCGACCGCTTACTTTTATGCAGTCCTTTCTTCCTCGACTTCAGTAGTCCCGAATCTGGCTGAAATCGGCAAGATCCCCAGATCGCTAACATGGATTGAGGACGTTGCTTCCGTCGGGCACACGCTAACATAGATTAGGGATGCGTTGATCCGGCGCGTGGGCGCCAGGTGCACGGATCGGGGAAGGCAGCCCCAGAAACATGATGCCAGTACCGCCTGATTTGGAGTTCCCCCAACCTTGTGGATGCCACGACAATGGACACTCTAACAATCCAATCATTGGTTTAAACATGCGTATGCAAATGTGTAAAACATGTTCTAAACATGTTTCAAACATGTTTACATATCTAAAGCTTTATTGACACATCTTTTAGACATCTGGACATTAGTTGGCAGCACGCTTCCTCTCCATTCATCGACTTCCACAACACCAATCTTCCACCAACTTCCGCCGCCAGAGCCGTCCTCGCCTTGCCTCCGCCGGCCTCCCGCTGGCCCTCTACCGCCACCCCACCGAGGAAAACCTCTCGGCCGTTCGAGGGCTCGGCCCCCTGTGGAGCGCCCTGCGTGTTCTCCGTAGCGGCTGATGGCTTCCTATCCCTCGGCTACACGCAAGAGTGACCATAGACAAGAGTGGCCCTTGGTGCGCGGCCTCACGGGGAGGGCCAAACCCAGGCGCGCAAGCCGCTGCTGTCGCATCGCGTTCCGCGATCGAGGGCCTCCAGCCGCCAGTGAGCCCGCACCGAAGGTCACTCCGACGAAGGGTCACTCTTACGCGTAGTCGAACCCCTCCTGGCTCAGGCTTGCTAGAAAAACATGACCTCTCCAGGAGCCCCTGCGGCTTCCCGAACGCTCGCGCGACGAGCAGCATCCGGACTTGATCCCGTTGCTGACCCGTCGCTGTCGCACGAGGCGCTCACCGCGCCTCCTCCAACCTGGGAGCGGTGATATCTCGCCTCAGCGCTGGCCAATCTCCTGGCTCGGGGTGATGATCTCGCCTTGGCGCTGGCCACTCCCTGCAAGGTCACACGAGTGGAGAGTCGTTCCCCCTACCCGTGCTCCCGTGGTGCTCGTCCACTCGCTGGCCTCGCCCCCCCCTCGGAGAGGCCGGCGCTCTCGGCTCCCTCGGCGGCCGCATCGCCAGCCCGGAGGCTTGTGCTCTCGCCTCATGGGCTGGCCACTCCCAGAGGGGTGGCGCAGTGGGCTGCAGCCACACTCGCCCGAGGGCTCTGCCCGTCTCCTTGCCGTCGCTCGGACGTCCATTTCCCGTTCATGTTTCGGTTTCGCGCGTGTTTTTTTTGCTCGATGGTCCAGGATGGTCTTCGATGGTTCCCGCCGAGAAGAAATGCACACTTCCGAGCTATGCCAAGTCTCCTTCCCAATTCCGAGCCAAGAGTGACGTTGCCGCATCGGTGCTGGACGCTCTCTGAGGAATGGCGCGGCGAGCTGAAGATGGACTTGTCCCCCGTCACCCTGGAAGCTCTCGCCTCGATGCTGGCCGAGCTTACTGTTCGGAATGACGCTCTCGCATCGTGGCTGGCCGCTCTCTGAAGGGTCGCGGGGTGGGCTGTACCTGTACTCGGTCCCCCGTTCCCGTGGCTTCCGCCTCAGCACCGACCTCGCCTCCAGCTCCGAATGGTGCTCGCCCCCCCGTCAACCACATGCGTGCCATGCTCTGAATGGTGCTATCGCTTCCGCGCTGGCCTTTCTCTGGACTCGGACTGATGGTTTCGTCTCGGCGCTGGCCACTCCCAGCGCGCGATGGGCTGTATCTGGACTCCTTCCCTTGTTCCCTTGTAGCTCTCGCCTTGACGCTGACAAAACTCCTGGCTCAGAAGGGTAATCTCGGCGCCAGCCGCACTCCCAGCTCATGCATATGGTTGTGGATGCCATGACAATGGACACTCTAACAATCCTATCATTGAATTAAACATGTGTTTGAAATGTGTGAAACATGTTCTAAACATGTTTCAAACATGTTTTTACATATTTAAAACATGTTTGAAACATGTTTATACGTCTGGACATTATTTGGCAGCACGTTTCCTCTCCATTCATCGACTTCCACATGCTATGGATTGCGACGAGGCCCTAAAGAGCAAGCGCAAGGACAAGCCACCACTGTCCACCCACCGGAAAAAAACTTGATCGGTCTGGAACCTCGGCTACGGCACGGCAGGCAGCGGCACGACGGCGGCACGGGGTGCGCTCACGACAGGACATCACGACGTGGCCTCCTCTTACAAACGGCACAGCATGGCACAGCACAGCACAGCACGGGCAAGCAGACGAAAAACGACCTGGCCTTAGGTCGGCCATGTCCCCCTACAGGGGGGATTTTGGATGCGAGATAGAAAATACCCCCAGAACATCCAAAATGGTGGTCAAAACATGTCGAACATTCGTCCCCCGACTATTGCAGGACTATTCTTGAACACTCCTCCTGTAAAGGGACAGGCCCGAGTTAAACCTGGTCCGCGCTGACCCACGGCACGGCGCGGCACGGCGCCACGACACGGCACGGCAAGCGCGGGCAACCGACATGCCAAGAAACTGGTGGGCCCCTTTCCCAGCCCACCGCGCCCCGCTCGCCAAAGGTGCTGCACGCGCGGGGGGCACGGGCAACAGCTGAGCGACGATCAAGAAGGGGCCCTACGCGAGATGACACGATTAGCGACCTTACGCGGTGGCTTACGCGGGCCGCCAGCGCGGCACGCTTCACTGGAGACGAGGGCGCCCACGCGCGAGCTCACGCGGGCAACTTGCGCGCCAGTGTCGGGGAGAACGACCCCGTTTTCTGGCGTCGCTCCACTGGACGTTGGCCCCTCTCTGACTGGCAGTGCGACACGGCCTCAGCACGCACGGGGCGCCGCATGGAACAGGGCACGCTCGGGCAGCCGAAAACCGATCTGGCTGCTTAGACATGCGACGTCCTGATTTTTTCAAAACGGCGTCCTCGGAATTCCAAACCCTTTCCCTGGGGCCGGCTTTTCATCCTGAATCTTTTTTTGACGGTCCCGAGGCCAGGCGAGGGCCCCCCGAGGCCGAAATTGGCTAAAAACCTCCCATCCTGATTTTTTCAACGACGCGATCATGTCTGGGTGTCCCTCTGCGACCCACGGCACGGCATACCACGGCACGGCACGACGTTGCGCGAGCAGCGGGGTCACGAGGGCCACCCCAGCAGCGCCCGCCGACTCCCTGGGCGGAAGGCCTCTCCGAACGTTGGACAAACTGCCCGAAAGGGCGAGGCGACCAGCAAGGGCCGTGGAAAACAGCCTCCATGGGCTGCGGGAGAATCGGCCACGACGGCTGTCACTACTGTCCAGGAGCTGGCACCCACGCCATCGCCAAGATCATCGTCAAGCTTGCGCTCGCCCCCTCCTGCCCGCTCCTCCTCCTCCTCCTCCTCCTCCTCCTCCTGATACTCCTTTTCCTCCTGCTCCTCCTCCTCCTGATACTCCTCCTCCTGATCGTCCTTCTCCTCCTGATCCTCCTCCTCCTCCTCCTCCTCCTCCTCCTCCTGATACTCCTCCTCCTCCTCCTCCTCCTCCTCCTCCTCCTCCTCCTCCTCCTCCCGATCCTCCTCCTCCTCCTCCTCCTCCTCCTCCTCCTCCTCGCTTGTTCGCTCGCTCTCGGTCGAAGTGTCGCGCAGGCGCGCCGCCTTTCCTGCCCCCGCCCCGCGGCTTAACCCGGTGGGGCGGGGGAGCGGCTCCTTAGGGAGAATGTGAGGAAACTGCAAATAGGGAAAAAGTGAGAAGAGAAAGACGGGTAGAGCAACGTGGTCCGCATCGAGCCGCGCCACACATCGGATCCACCACCTGCTCCCCGCCTTCCCCCCATAGCGCCCTCCCTCCCACAGCCAAGGTCTGAGGCGTCGCTGGAAAGCGATAGCGGTGGAAGACGCGAGGAGGAGTGGGTGGATGCGTAATGGAGCGGGATGCAGCAGATTGACGGTAAAAAGGGCTGGCGCGGAGGAGGCTGCAGTAGCCTGCTATTTTGGGGTGAGGCTGAGGGGTGCAGTTGCCATGCTCTTCTGGAGGTGGTGCAGTTACCTTGCTCTTTTGGAGTGCTGCGCCTTCGCTCGGCCTGAAAGGTGAGGTG